ATATTAACTGTTAAACAAAAGGAAAGCCAAATATACTTGACCAAACAAACTTAAAAAATAATTCTCACTGTTTGTTACAATGAAACAAAAAATTCTGGATCAACAGTTCTTTTCATGTAATTTCGTTGTAGATCAAATATCATGCTCCATTTTGAGCCATGAAGGCTCCATTTCACATGCGTAATACCTCTAACAAAAAACTTTTTCGTCTGACTGTATTTTGTATTTTAGCCAACCCCAAACTATATTTTGCCTTCTGAAATCAACAAAATAAGCTTACGGACACAATGCGAAATGACTTTTAATGTGAATCAAAATGATGAACTCGATTAATTCAGAACTCCGATTTAAATGCAAAGTGGTTTATTAATTTCTAAATTATATTATTATTGAAATTATTGCAAAATATCACCTAAAGGTTTCGGCTTTAAAGAGTGAAATCGTAATTTAATTATCTAAGCCCCGTTAGAATTAAAAAGACTGTTATAAGAATTATTGTGAAAGAGTGCATGTTCGTATTATACAGCCACCCTCATGGTATATTGCTGCGTGACTTCCAAATTATCCAATTAGCTAAAATTCTTGGACAACTGTTATTGAAAATCCACAAATAAAAAATGAGACAGATTTGGAAAGTTCAATTAGAAAGTAATGGAATATAGATGCAAAAAGTATCCAATAATTGTTGCAACCTTATATTTGATTTGGCATTTCCGATGTCAAATCTTTGCTTTCCACTAACTGCTTTATTCCAGCCCACGTTGGATTTTCATAACATATTTAACCTTTGCAGTTTGCTAAGTGTTTGACTAATCACGTGAAATTACAATTGGTAAAATCGATAGTTATTTATAGCGCTCAATTGCTCTATTATAAAGAAAATAATTGCTTAGTAGTGAAGTCTAAAAATAGACTTACATGCAAAAAGATTAAATTCATTAAAAAGGAAATAATTGACAGGCTGTCATTAGCCAGTGCATGTGAGACGAGGCATGAGGAATAACTCTGAGTAAATTGAAAATAATCGATTTAATTGAGTAATAATCGTATAAGTACGCATGCACCATTGGATGCATGATCATATGTGCGTTTTTGGGCCAATTTTCTTCAATCATTTGTGGAGGAATTCACTGCCACAGTTATGCAAATTCTGTCAAAAATAATTATTAGTACTATTTATGGATTATCGCTCTATTACGAATTCTTGAGTTCGGTTTCGTTAAATGAGTCGATTCTAGTATTTAAATTCAAAATTCAATGACATTCCATTTTACCATTATCTCTACTCTCTTACCACTAAGAGATAAGGAATTGTTTGAAAATATGTATAGCAAACATTATATTGAGTTAGTAGAGTGTATTTTGTTTACATAAGAAATATTTTGAGAACTGTAGAAAGTAACGCAAGATTAATTAAAAATTGGTGAAAAGATAATAAATTTATTCGCCTAATGAGTAA